CACAAGTGGAGACGCTCAGAGGACGAGGTCCCTATTGCTATCGTATACAGGGGCAAGTTTACCATCGCATAGGACCTCTTCATCCATCTAAAGGAGAGCAACGACATTATGGACAAATTTACATCTTAGACACTGAGATGGCTGCCCAACAACGCCTTGGAGACGTAAGAAATGCTGATTGCGACCCGCACTTGATGCGGTTCCTCGGTCAGCTTATCTCTAATGTGAATGCATACGCACAATCATTCAAAATGATGAGTGAAGTTGAGCAAGCCAAAGCTGCTCTCGCAGAGAGTGAGAATCGTCCGCCGGTCACTATCCGCATGATTTTTGAGGAAAGTAGAGAGCGGGGGAGTCGCCCGTAGGCAGTATGACTTTCCAACAGCTAATGAAGTGGCTGTCGTCTATGTTGGAGAAGACGATGATGTCCCTGTCCCCTTCGAGAACTCTTGCAATTCATTTACGAGGAATTAATAAACATTCGAGAACGAGAGGAGAGGAATTAGTGAACATTCGCGACATCCACAACATATGTGACCCGCTGAAATATCCACTTCTCTTTCCTACTGGCGTTGGGATCCAAGTCTGTCCAACAACTTGGGTAATCGTACTACGCAGAAGCAGTATTACTCATTCTTATTCTCCGTCCGTGATTCCTTCAATCCGATATTACATGCTGGGAAACTCTGCCAGCACTTTGCCGTCGATGCATAAGTCAAAATTGAACAGAACACTACGATCTGACTCGTACAGAGGACTCCAAGACTACAACGCTGGAGAGGACGTTGCCGGACCTCCAGGACGCCGTATCATACTACCTTCAACACACATCGGTAGTCCGAGGTCAATGCAGCAATCCTTCCAAGACGGCCATGGCCATCGTAGCACGCTTTGGTAAACCGACGCACTTCTTGACGATGACCTGCAATCTACAGTTGAAAGAATAACAGGGGAATCTATTCGCTGGGCAAACACCATCTGATCGCCCTGATGTGACATCGCGAGTTTTCAATGCAAAACTGATGGAACAGTCCGATTTCTTCAAGAAGCATGTGCTAGGCGAAGTGCAGGCGTACGTCTACGTTGTCGAGTTCCAGAAACGTGGTTTGCCGCACTGCCATATGCTGTTGATAATGAGGGAAGGTTGGAAAGTGCGCACAGCTGATGAATGTGACGCTGCGGTGCGCGCAGAATTTCCCAACCATCTTGAAGAACCGAAACTTCACAACGCGATTACTTCCTATATGATACATCGTCAGTGTGGCCCTGTAGAGCCTCACTCACCGTGTATGCAAGGTGTATCATGCTCTAAGCGATCCCCAAAGCCTTTGCGTCAGACAACTTCGATGGAAGAAGATGGGTACCCATTGTACAAAAGACGCAATCTTTTCCCAACGGAGATACGTGCAGTTCATCATAACGACCAATGGATTGTGCCAGCGAACCCATAACTTATTCTAAAATATGACTGTCATCTTAATGTGGTAATTTGTGGAACAATTTCCGCCGTAAAGTACCTCTACAAATACATTTTCAAGGGCCCAGACTGTGCCAATATCAACATCGAAAGTGAAAACGAAGCCGATGAAATAAGCCAACAGCTCAACACTAGATACGTTTCCGCACCGCAAAGTATCTACAGAGTTTTCGGATTTCCTCTGCAAGACAAATCGCATACTGTGTACAGATTGGCAGTACATTTACCAGAGTTCCAAACCGTCTACTTCGTCGAAGGAAGAGAACGAGATTCTCTGAGTGCGCAAAATCCTTCACGACCCTAACTGCCTGCTTCGAACCGAACGCACAAATGGCCAACTGTATAGCACGCCCGAATACTTCTATAGACGCAAGAAATCTATACTACTACCGAATTCCTGAACACTTCACTTTTCATCGTAACCGAGGATGGACACCTAGAGGACGTAGTGGAAAGCAAATAGGTAGAATGTACACTGTTTCGCCTAGAGACACTGAGAGATACTGTCCGCGAATTCTTCTGTTAAACACTAGAAGAAAGACATCGTTCGCGATTTGCGAACCGTTAATGGAATAGTTCACGAGAGCTTCAGCGATGCGGCAAAAGCGCTGGATTCCTGGATGATGACACCTACCTACAACAAAGTCTCCTCGAAGCAGTGCAGTATCAATCCGCTGCAGTAATTAGAAGTTTCTTCGCGTGCTTGCTCGGCTACTGCGACGTAGTTCACGCTCAAGTGTCGTGGGATGAATTTGCTCACTCAATGTCCGATGACTACATTCATCAAGGAGTTGATCAGGAGCGTGCTATCTCGCTCGCTTATTTTGACGTTCTCGATAGAACGAGCCTGCTAGGTAAAGATCTGGCTCAAATAGTCAGTCCACCTACGCGCGAACGCCCTCCACCTGTTGCTATACCGATTGACTACGACACCCATGAGAGGAACGGCGTTCGCCAGTACGATACGCTCAATGCTATGCAGAAGGAAGCCGCAGATAGCATCCTTTCATCACTGGACGGTAATGGGAGCCGATACATTTTCGTTGACGGACCAGGTGGCAGAGGAAAGACATATTTATATAACACTGTATACAACATTGCAGTTGCCCTTTTGAGAGACATCATGCAGAACAATATACCCTTTGGCGGAAAAGTTAGTTGTAATTAAGTGGAGACTTCAGGCAGGTCAGCACCGTTGTTTGAAGCACGGCCCAACGCAGCCAAATGTGTTGAAGCCTCATGTTTCGCAAGATCGCATTATCTCTGGCTCTGTTTCTCATTCAAATCGACTAAAACATCAAGTATGAGAGGTCAAGCCGAAGGAAACACTTAGAAATAATTCCTTTTGGAAATCGGTAATGGCGAAGTGAACGACTCTGACGATCGCATATCAATCCCTGAAGCAGTGCTTTCTACAAACATTGGTACGGAAATATTCGGTGCTGCAATTGATCCTAACAACGCATCACAGCTAATGGCGAAGTACCATTCTAGCGCCTAAAAATGTTCATGTTCAACCTTTAAATGAAGATTCGTTGGACCGCCTTCAAGTGGATAATCCAGGCGACGAACGGCACTACAAAAGTGTTGACGAAGCAATCTATTCGGAAGGGCAGACAGGACTGCTTTTTCTCATGTAGTACTTAAATCTCCTACACGGCCTACTGGGATTGCCTGCACACATGCTCGTGCTGTATAAGGGCGCAATGAGTGATGTTGTTGAGAAATCGGAGCGGTAGCTAACGGTCTGTGGAACGGAACTAGACTCAAAATTGAATCTATGGGACGATATACATTAGGATGCCGCTTTTCCCATGGGAAGCGTCATGGTCAGCTCGCCATCATCCCAAGAATCAACAACTACTGGGACAAAAGTACCCCTTTCGCCTGCGACGACGGTAGTTCCCGATTCGAGTAGAATTTGCAATGACAATCAATAAGCTACAGGGCCAGTCTTTCAACAAAGTCGGCATCTACCTACCGGAAGACGTGCTTTCCTATGGCCAACTCTACGTCGCTCTTTCTAGAGCAAGAACACCTGACGGAATCATGACCTAATCTCCCTCTAATCTACTGAAAAATATTGTCTAGACTGAGGTTCTGCTTTGAAATCTGCAGCAGCATATACGCCTCTATTCATATTTCACCCGTATTCTTCAATTGAGTTGCGTTGGTCCTCAGTTATGTTTGGCTTACTCATTCATTGCAGAATAATCGTCATTCAATCTTTCCGCCAAGCTATCGGTCGAATGGTCAAAAGTGCAAGATCGCGCGGGAAAGAGCCCTATATAAGGGCAACTGTGAGCAGAGACCGGTCGCTCTGTGCTCTGCACTGTTCTCGTCGATCCTTACGCAATATCCGCTGCACATCAATACTCACTATTCGGTGCTACTGCACTACGAGGTTAACAAGATATTCTACTTGGTATTCTAGTTATTCTACTGACCGGTGAAGTTGGATAATAAACTAATTACTCTTTCTTCTTCAGAGAGCAATATAACCAATATTATCAATATCAAATCAATCAATCAATCAATATCCGCGTGGCCAGTGGACTCAAGACACTGAAGGGCGAGCTTCCCCACAAATTGGTGCATCGACTTCTACAAGATCCAGGTCGGATTTTTTCTCCTTCAACTCAGAGATTGCGATCGCTTTTACATTTTCCTCTTCGCTTCAAGTCAATAATACAATATCGTTCAATACCGCAAGCAATATATTCAAGTCGGTACAATATATACAATATATTATCTATATCTTATTGAAAGCAATCATCGCAATATCAGAGATATCTCCGAAATCGGCACCCAAAAACGACTTGTATCGACTTTTACCAGTAAGCTGGACCGCATCTGGACGACATGTCGAGGGAACCACCTTCATCTCCGAATGAGCTGAAGGAACTAATCAGGAAGATCGAAGAAGGACATAGTTGCCTAACCAACGCATCATCCAAAGTTGAAAAACAGTTGAGCAGTTATGCATGACAGTGGATGCCCTCGAATCGCCATCTCGGAAAGAAATGGATGCCTATGAGGAGTACGCCTGCAAAGCAGAATCAGCGATATCTCGCGCCTTTGATATAAGCAATCTGCTGCAAGCTCGACTCCTCTCGCTCAGAACTCAAATGGCATCAGCTTCACCGGCACCCGCACCAGTTGGCCAACAGCCACACCTTACCAAAATTGACACCAAACAACTGGAACTCCCTCCGCTCCCCATACCGTCGTTTTCCGGAAACTTGTGGGAGTGGGAAAATTTTTGGGAGCTCTACAACGCCAACATACATTCGCAAGACCTGCCTGAAATGGTCAAGTACAACTACTCACTCAATGCTCTCAAAAGACAAGCGAAAGAGTCAATAAGGATTTTGCTATTCGCTATCTCGAACATCCAATGTCATTGCAGTGGCTCTACATTGAAACGCTCAGTTTTGTAGCTCCCAATATCGCTCCATCCACCACAACTCTATTCGTCTTCACAGGGTCTAGAAAAAGTTGCTATCAGAAGGTTGGTTGAATCCCATGTTGCCATGTATTTGCTGTCTCTAACATCCAATGTCATCGCTGCGGCTCTACATTGAAACGCTCAGTTTCGGTAGCTTCCATGTTCCACTGCCATCCACGTCTCTGCAAAACACTTCCACCTACCAAGCCCATGTCATCCACCACAACTCTGTTCGTCTTCGTAGTGTCTCCCAAGTTTGGTATGAGCAGGTTGGTTTCATTTCATAACGTTCATAGCATATTTCTACTTTCAAACATCCAATAGTAGTGGCTCTGTGTCGACCTCAAACGCCTTTCAATGGCTTTATTTCCGGCACGTTCTCTTGGATGGCTCCGGTCTTGATCAATCCCGATTCTGGACAGTACACACTCACGATGATTTATAAAGCGTCCCATTCGTCTTCGTATGTGTTCGCTTCATGTTATTGAGTACCTTGATAATAGCAGGCAGCCGCAGGACACTTGAATGCTTCACCAGTGCAATACCGCTTTTTCGGCGTTTGCTTTTCCTTTCTTCCAGTGGTTGTTTACGTGAATGCCCTTCTTCGCTGCATGAAGATGTTTCTGCAGACCCATTTATTCTACTCTTTTTCGGATCTGTATTACTGCTATGTTATTTATCCAAGAGTGTAGCCTGAGTCTCATATTTGAGCTTCTTCGATA